GCCTACATTGTATTTAAAGCACACACCATACTAATTTAAGACAGCTATACACTATCTCATGAAAATTGTAAACCTGATGAACACAGTATTGTTTCCCAATAGCCTGCGGTTTTTTTTTTTACAATTGATTAGAATATCTCACAAAATCTAATTGATAACTGTGGAAGCAGAACAACATACTTCAAATAATACATATTGAATCATGAGAGATTTTCAAGAACTTAAAAACTTGTTGTGTATGCAAACACAATACACAACAAGAGCAAACCAAAGTCCAGTTACGCAACACAATGAAATCAAGAGTAAGAACAATTAACAACTAAACTCTGTCCACAATCACAGGCGCTTTCATGGATATAGACAAGAGTCCCACACGTGTGGTGCTGTACATGAGAGGGCTGCTATGAGAAGCCTGTTCAACAGAATTAAGACCAGAATCAGTAGAATAGTAGTTCTGGGTAAAGAGATGGAGTACACGCATGCAAAAAGTCCTGAAGACAATGTGGCTTTAAGGCCCTTCAGTTACAAGAACCTTAGAATCCACTGGGAGCCAGTATAGTTTACAGACAATAGGATAGTGCCTGGATCACATAATTCTGCAAGCATAGAAACCTATTTAGAAATGAAGGTCTTAAAGTACTCTATTCCTAATTAAATACCGCTATTTCAGCATCAAGCAGGTTGAGCAAGGGTAGTAACCAAGTAGTGACACAGGTGGAATAAAGATGCCCTCTTGTGTAGTACTGGATTTGGTCTACAAATAAAGTGCAGTGTTTTTGGCACAGCAGTGAAATGCGAGTCCATGATGGCAAATGAACTGACCGAGAGGCACCAATAAGAAAGGACCCATCACAGACCCTTGTGGAACACCTGGGGTATGTTTCTGTAAGTAAAAGTAAACTTAAAATAGGATGGCAATGGTTAATACAAAGAGGTTCAGGTGTGACAGCAGAAGTCTTTTCAGCTTACAGGAACAAGACTAGTTTTGGGGGAGTCAGTTACACAGACAAAGAGCAGAGAACTAGATTTTAATAAAGGTCCAAGAAATCGGTAGTAGGTCTCATTTTAGCTACTTACTCAGTCACATAGGCAGTGTCAACAGCAAGAAAAAGAGACAAACTCAAACCTGCAAAAACAGCGAGGTAACACATACTTTTAAGCTTGTTCAAGCATTTTATTGGTGGTGGAAAAAAGAACAGCAGGAGAACTAAGATTTCTTGGAACAAAACGGGAAGAAGGACCTGGCAGTCTTTAGGGCCTCTCTGTCTGGCAGGTCTTGAACTGCGAGCCCTATCTGATGACTCGAACAATGGGAATCCTTGGATCCCAGCCTCATGGCGGACAGTAAACCTGAAATCTCTACATTTCTGGATTAGTCTTGGTCTGACAGAGAAGAGCAGGCTCAATAATGGCAGGAATATTCAATCCTAAACGAAAAGGTTTGACTGAAAGTAACAATTGAAAAGTGAAAGAAACAATTACAGGTCTAAGCTGAAACCCAAAGCGGCCCAATCCAATACAATTCATGACCACGTATATTTCTAGAAAGATGCAAATTGTCACTCTGTGCCAGCAGCTCTCTTGAAGTAATTCTCCAAGCTCACCGAGGACAATGACACCTAAAGCTCACATAGAGAAGTGCATAGACATCCGAGATGTACCAGGCAGGCTTGGACCAGATGTACAGTGGAACACCACTGAGACAATGCAACACTATTTAATGTATTGTAAGCTTTTTCTTCATTTTATGTTATACTAATATTGTAGCAAAGTCCTATTAAACTGAAATGACTCAAGCGGTACTTCAAAAACCTCATCTAAAGCTAAGATGTTCCATCTAAAGCTCGTCTTCACTGGCGAACTGCAAAATGGTTAGCAAGTCCTCTAAACAGGATAAAAAAAGCCACAAGTTCGCGAAAATAACTTCTACTAAAAAGACAAGCAGATGAACTCTTTGTGCTTAGTTAACATGACCATTACATTAACTTCTTGTGAGCAGTAAAGTATGTCAACAAACAAGTGCAGTTATTAACAGCATGTTATCAAAGCGAGATACAGACATCAGTCCTGTCTTGGGTACTGAAAGAACAGTTGAGTGTATGGGACGCAACTGAAGACTTTACTTTCTCATTTCAATTGGGCTTCGTAACAGCTGTCCTTAGAGGAACAAAATAAATCTTATCTTACGTTTATTAGCGCTGTTCGCAAACGGGGAGCTTTGCAGCTGTGAAGGCGAAGCATGGTGCATGCATCGCCTCTTAATGAAAATCACAGCTTTTGTACAGATGCTAATAAATGTTTTATGACACATCGTCTCCCATCCCACCCCACTTCGTTACCTCAAGGTCTGTTTGAGGGTCTCCAACAACCTGCTGCAAAGAAAAGGACAGACCATGAAAGAAAAACAGAAGGGGGGCAGGAACAGACTCTTTGCATTTCTTGGGAATGAAAGACTAAATTCTCAGTCAAGCGCAGCATAAACTGTCAATCACTGCCTTGACATCGAAGATACTAGAACAATGGCTACAAAAACCAAGACAATATTGTCACTGGGCAAAGGTTCAAGGCACAACTAGATTACACATCTATCCCTGGTTAAACACTTTCCATCTGATGAGCAGCTTTAATCTGAGAAGCACACGCTGCAGGCATGTAACTGCTGACCTTTTTCCCCAACTCCCTGCCTAAATACATTTTTGGCAAAACAATTTATTGATTTTAAACTAGTCAAGAATGGACCCTAACACCCCCCCTTCCCTGGTCAACAGAGGCGATAGGCCCTCTGAATTTCTCCAAGACCACTAAAATAAAGTCAGGCTGCGACAGAAACAAGGCTGTGAAACAAGGCCGTGACTGCATGAGGAGCCGGATTTCATACAGTACTCTCACTGCCCCCCTCTGGCACTCTGAGAGCCCCTGCTGCAGGGATGCAAGAAGTCTCAGCGCAGCTCGGCTCGGCACAGCTTTTTCAATGAGTTTATGACGAAAATACCTTTGAAAAGAGCAAGGCAGGCAGGCAGAGACTCGGTTTCTCAAAGCTCCGCGCCAAAACCCATACAAATGGCCTCCATTTCATATGACAGCTAAGTGTAACGTAAAGCCACGTTTCATAGGAAGAATGAAACATTGTTACAACAAGAATGTTAACGCCAGTACAGAAACACCTTTACCGAAACCTAGAAAAACAGAAACCTCACAAAGTCCAGTTCTTACACATTTCTCATACTCCCCTGTTAGTCTCAATAAAGGCTTGCTTCCTGCTGAGCCAAATGAGGACATTTTAAATGTTAAAAAAACCAAGAAGTGTCCTGACACAACTGGGCATCTGGAGGCTCCCCGCATGCCAACATCTTTTCGGTAGTAGCGCGGAACATTGGTCGAGGTTCTGGAGTTGTAACTGAAGGGTCGTGGGTTCAAACCCAGGTGAGACACTGCTGTAGCCTTCAACAACATCCGTCAAACTGCTCCAGCAGAATACCAGCTGTGTTCATATAAGTGACTTTGGATAAAGGAGGCAGACAAATAAACTGGTAATTAGTAACTTTAGCCATAAATGAGAGCAGCTATCCAGAACCATTTCTGCTGCTACAAGAGACAAAGAACTGAGTTTTCATTCAGCAAGACTACTGGACAAGAGCAATGAGAATCCTTGCTTAGCACGAGGGAAAAGCAGAAGGAATAGTCTGCCAAACTTATCCAGATATGCACATTCCCAAAATACATAAAAAGGTTCATTCCATTCTAAGTGCACAGAATGGATCTGAGGAGGGGTGAGCCCACTCTGTCTGGCCTTAAAAATTAGAAAAGAAAAACTCATATCTGCTAACATCAGCCAGCCCTGAACTGTTGTACTGTCATGCTCGACTTCCTTGAACAGTGTTGGTTACCCAAATGGTAGAAAGACACCAGCTCTCTGCACTGTGGTATGGACAATTCAATTTAGCACACTCAACCAAGCACGTGACGGGCGGTGTGAAGAACATGTGCTGAGAACTCTATAGAAGGGTAATGATTTCATATGTAGGGTGGACGGTTTATAGTAATAGCGTACATTTTTCGTTTCCCAATCCATAAGCACAAACGTGTAGCCAACAGTTAAACTGGAGGACTGTGCGTCTATAATGCAATACAGTTTCAGACAGGAATGCTCAGGAATGGGCCTGCAGACAGGGTAATTCGTGAGACTGATGCTTGTGCAGATTTGGTTTCCAGATTACTGTAGCAATCCCCACATAAATCTAATGTAACACTGCTTGATCTTGCTTGTTAACTGTAGCTCAGACCACTGCTCCACTGAGCCTGTACAGACATCACCTAAAGAAAGGCACTCCAGACCTTCCATGTGATCATATTCCTAAGAGATAACTTCACCTGAGGAATACTGGTGCCGAGAGCAGTGTTGTAGTGAAACAAAGGAAAGCAGCCATGAAGGACTGGAGAGATCAGTATGTTTAGAACGTCAACAAGTCGAGACTGTTTGTGGTATTAAAAAGAAAAATGGAAAAGGGAAGCAAGATCTTAAATTGTTCAAAGCAGGGCATAAGATCTAATGTGTGCTTCGAGGTAATCTGCTTCCTAATCCTTTTCCCCTTGTAAGTTTCTAAAGTGCTTTGTGGAAACGGTCTGACGAAACACGCAGAATTACAAACTGCGAAAAAGAAATAAACGTATAAATCAGGAAACCTGAATCATCTGTTGTATATTCGCAACTTCCTGTCTGAGCACTTCCTCAAGCCTGCTGTGACTTCAGAGTGGTAGTGGAGGCAAACGCAACCAAAGCCTGCAGAACTGGGCGGATGCCTCTTTTGTAAGCCTTGTGGCATTCTGGAGCATCAGTAGGGGGAAAAAGAAAACAAAACGAGCAGAGCTGGGCAATTTTCATCCTGTGAAGTGTGAGCAGCCGATTTCTGTAAGCAAGCTGAAGAGAAAAGGAGGGGGGGGATGGCGCAACGAAATGAACACTGGAAGATTCCTTCTTAAAACAGCGTGTCGACACTCACCCTTTCCAAATACAAACTGTTGAACTCATCGCCGATGCGCCGCAGCTCCTGAGCAACCCAGACCTCCGGCCGCATATCGGCGGGCATCGATAGCGACCGAGGTCTATAGGGCCTGTGGGGGGATTGTGGCATGTCTGCGAACGAAGCACAGATAAATGTCAGGTTTACACAGCGGGAAATGGCCTTCACCTTTCAGGTGATGCGGCAAAATTCGCTGAAGCTTTATTTCTTTGAAATCTCATGTGTGATTTGAAAGAGGAAACATCTCTTCGCCGGTGTGTATGGCGCAAGTTCAGGTTGGCTCAGTAAACTCAGGATGTTCAGCTTTCCTAGAAAAAGGAGGACATGCTGAGCTGCGTTTCTGCTAGAGCCAACTTCCTCGTTAAATATCTTCTGTATGCTTTTCAACAGGAGATGGTTATCTGTTCAGCGATACCCTTGGTTTACTTTGCTGGGTAAGAACGAAAAAGAGCGAACGATACTGTCCCCACCTTTGATCTTTCAAAATGTGCGCTTTTTTTATTGACATCTTGAACTCTTACACGATACATCCAGAAAAAAAAGTTAATTGGGAAGAGTTTGCCAACGCAGGGCAGTTTGTCCAGTGAGGAAAACCAGTTTTGTGCGGTCCTTGAAACTTAAAAATACTTGTCAAATAAGCCTATAGCCCTATTTCTGTTTAAAGAAAAAGGTCAGGATTCTGGATCCATTACCAACATGAAGTGTTAACTACTTTCTTGAACATGCCCTTTGTTTAAAAGTGCTAGCCACCTTGAAGTTCTTCTTCAGAAATGTTTTGAAGCAGCAGAAAGCTGCTACTAAAAAGAGCATTTTTCTGAAGTGCACAGAAACTCTTGAGGTCAGGAACCACCGGCATTTGCACCAGACTGTACGACAAGAGACTTGCTAGAATGCACTTGCTTTGCTCGAGTGCTGAGTCATGCCAGAACCGATTTATTGTTTCTCACATCCCATGACATCAGTGGTCGTACAGCCCATTTTTTTATTTCCTTTGTGTGCTTTGAAACTAAAAGAAGACAAATTAGCAGTCGTAACTCCAGCAGGTGCCAGAAGGGCAGAGGCATGCAGCTTCTTGAATTACTCAGCTGAGGCTCTGCAGACCCTCTCTCTGGACACCAGTACCCTATCATGCACCGGCCCTGTAATTCAGGAAATTAACACCGGGGTTAAGTGGCTCGTATTGAAATGGAGCCCAGGCTTTTCAGAAAAGGGCTCTCTTTGGCAATTCCAACACGTGCGTGTTAAAATAAAAAAAAAGGCTCAGGCCTATCAGGACACACGATTTGAAAAGCAGCAAACTGGGTTACAAAGTCTTTCCCATCTGTGGTGGAGCTCGATATTCAGGCACATCACAACAGCCAGCCTGGGTCACCCTGAGACAGAACGGACTGCACCTGTAGATCCCACAGCCCCTCCTCTGCCTTGGCCTTACTGCTGTACAACTTAAGTGTATCTGGTGCGCTAATACGCATTTTGTTAGACCATTTGAACTGTTTGCCGTTAAGACATTTTTTGACACCGTTCAGTGATTGTTTTGAATACATACTGCCCTGGATCATAGCCTCGGCTAAACAAATCAATAATATTACCTCCCATTTCCTTTTTTCTTCCTTGTAGCCTGGATTGCACGAGACACCACACTCAGAAATGTTTATTCAGCTAGTGAAAGTGGGCAGCTTTGTAAGCTTATTTCACAACTATTTTCATTTTGACTTCTGCCAGGTACTGTGCAGCGCATATTCTGGATTGTACTTATTCCCAACCCCATAGAACAGAATTGCAACATGTTCTTTCAGAAGGCACCAATGCAGTCATGTTGCTACAGTAGTTTCCCCGATTGGTGGATCAATGGTTCTTCACAAGCAGCTTCATGAGAGAAGGGATCACACAAACCAGCTACATACAGTATAACATATTAGCTGATGTTAGTTTGTTACAGCATTGACCTTTTTGTGGACATTTTGTGTGACTGACAGCTCAGTGTGATGTTCTGTCAACATGTAAAACAAGATTTTGTAAGCTCACTCTAAGCACTGAAATTCCAGTATGCCCACAATTCAAACAGAAACTTTACACAGAAGTGAAAACGGATAAGCTGACTTTCAACGCATAAAATCTAACATTTCAAAAATTCGGTTTTCTTCTTCCCTAACTCAGCATGGTGGACCTCAGAACTGCCTTGTTTGAAATACATGTCATATTGGCCAGAACACACACGTCTGTGGTGGCTCATTAATGTTAGAATTCCTTGCTTAACATAATGGTACTACAAACAATAAAAACAATTTATGTATCCTGAATTGGATAAGCCGTTATTGAAAGTGGCGTGATGATGATGATGATGACAATTATTTCTATCTCAACCAAAGTCATGTCTGAAAACTGCTTCAATCACACCCTGTAAAGCATAATCAGGTGTAGAAAACACTATGAAACTATTGATTAAATAATTGACCATACAGAAATCCACCAAGAAGAGATTCTAAAACTCACAAACTCATATACAGTACCATACTGGTGGTGACTGTTACTGATATGTTGATGGCTCATTTGAGAGCTCGTTGAAAGAGTTCAGATGTAGTAATCTCACTTCTTTAACTTCTCCTCGTTAAGCAGATAATGCTCCAAGGGTGGACCGATGGACCTGGGTGCCTCAAAACTATATGTGCTTTTACTCCTGGCAAACCTGGTCTTTACAGTGTTATATGTCCACCAAGAGAGACTGTGTTCAATTAAAACGTCCTGAAACCAAAACTTCCTGTGTAAAAGCAATGAGTAGCCCTGGCCCTTACAAAACAAAGCTCGTCTTTAACGAACCCTTTTAAGATACTGCAGTAAAATTACTTTTAAGCAGAATAAGGCAATGTTACATCAGACTTACATGGGTGGTGCCATAATGACGTTAATAAAATCTGCACAACCTTCCGTCTTAGAAAACACCCTGAAGGCTAATTTCTGAGCAGTCCTGTTTGAAACTGTACTCAGCTGAAGAAGCACAACCTTACAGTTTAACCTTTAGCTACCTAACTCTGCTTATGAAACAGAAAACGAAACAGAAAATGTACAGTATTTCTATAAACAGTCCACCCAAAATATGAAATCATTACATCTCTATACAGTATGATAAACCACAGCTTCGCTTTTCACATTGCAAGTGAGTAATTTTATACAAATTTCACTCTCCGCTCTCTAAAAAGACAACTGCAAGTGGGAAACAAGATGACTTCTTTAAGGTTAACAGCTGGCTTAGACCCCTAGCCTCCATTCCTCACGCGTTAAAACTCACACAATGGAGTGGAACAAGTGCCCTACGATTCCCCCTCAGAAACTCCCAGTGCCACCTGATCCAGACATACCAGAAATGCTCTACACAATACGTCGCATCATGGGTTTTTTTTTAAAGTCGTCACTGACAAAAATGACCTTTAACCGGAGAAGCAGAGAGCTACAGCTGATCACTGAAATTGAGTTTCCCTGCCTTTCCAGAGACAAGGTGCGGGCTGAAGGGGGCAGGAACGGTTATCAGCCGGCCTCATCTTCTAACCCATACAGTAAAAAAAAAAGGAACTGTGGTGAAGATGTTTTAGAAAAACAGCTGTCTAAGGTTCACAAGAGGGCCAGGTCTCTATTTTGACTGCTGCCTGAGCTTTCCTCTTGCTAGTTCCAGTCCAGCTTTCCTACAGTGACTGCCAATAAAAGGAAATGTAACAAAACAAATCTGTCCTCGGAATCAATTCTATTATGCTGCACAGGAGTAAACATCCGCTCCCGTTTGCCGGGGCTGGTTCTGGGGGAGCTCGCTCCCATGCTGGTCGTTTCAGACTTCTCTATTGTTGGATGTCATGTCGCAAGGCTCTGTCGCTGTCGCACACTGCAGAGCCCTGATGAGGAGCAGCCACAGCCCATATTCTCTAGAGAGCAGGGAACGGGACTTCATGACTTTCTGGGCAGTGGATTTTCACATCATTAGTGACCTGTTTCTAAAACAAAAAAAAGAGAAAAAAAACCACTCTAGCAGGAATAAAAGGGGCTGTGTGCTCCTGCTGCATCACTTACTAATTTCTCAGATGCTTTTCATCCAAAGCAACTTGCATTTGCACCCATTTATGCAGCTGGACCTTTTAACTGCGACAATCTGGGCAGAGTACCCTGCTCAAGCAGCAGGATTTCTTTAGTGCTTTAGCCATAGGAGTGTGGGGTCCAGAACAAGCTAGGAAGCCATGTTATTGAATCCAAACCCTAGCTTCATTCAAGAAATAGCTGGCTGAGATCCTGGGATCCATTCTCACTACAAAACAGGCTTCCAAATGCCCCCTTTCCCAGCCTTCTTAAGTCTCACATGGACTTTGAAGCGTCCATGAGTCCCGAACACTGTCCAATCCCTCTCGCCAAAGTGACCAGCTGCACTGCGCATGCTGAAGATATTAAACAACCGTGTTCCTTTTCAGTACTTGAGATTTATCTTTGAGAAAACTGAAATAGTTTTCGCAAAGCTTCCTGAAACACATCCTCCGCATGTTGGAGGCTGAAGCTCTTCACTTTGTAACCTGTCTTTTAAGTCACTTGCTCCAACTTCAAAACAAAGGTTTTGCATTTACTTTCAGTGAACACAAAAATATCCTCAAAGCACAGCATTTAACCATAATGAAACTGGAAAATACAAAACAATTTGGATAGAAAGTTTATTTACTTCACTGAACATGGGTTGATCACCTGACTTCCCAATAAATTCTCTTTAATACATCTTGTAGAGTCCACTGTAAGTAAAATATGTTCTATATCATCAGTATTTCTAGAAGTATTCAGGGTGCCAAATACTAAATTCTCCGTCTTTAAACTCCATATTTAATCTTCAGTGGTGAATCAGCCCAAAAAAACAACATATGGGATCTGTTTGGTATTGACACAGATACCGATACTTGTCCTGCATCTGTGTCAGTAAATGAAATACAAAGCACACCGAAACCAGACTGTGCTGCTTGTTTGTTTACAGACACTTAAAGATCATCAAACACCCCCAGCCTGAGAGCAGAGATTGCCATGTCATTCCTCATTACTGCACACTGGTACTCGGTGAATCATATTTTAGCTATCAGTACACTAGAGAGGAAGAGCATTACTTAAGAATATTCACGAGAGGGCATCGCTACTGTTAAAAAAGGTACAGTAGATTACAGGCTATAACTGCACTGGTACACGAAAGTGAGACTGTACCAGTTATACCTGCGAGACAAGAAATAAATTAAAACTTTCAACAAGGATTCATGGGATAGACATCTTTTCACATTCCTCATTGTTAAAGATGTCAAAAGTCTTAGTCCTAAAAGATAATCCACAACAGACAGATCCCAATCTTTCTGCCGTAACCCTTAAAGACTGAGAGCACACAGACACTTCCTGGTGTGCATTTCATTGTCAAAAAAGAGCTTTTTTTTTTGCCTGTTTACAGGAAGCTATTGTTAGTCACAGGATTATGTCTTTTAAGGGCCACCAACAGCACAGACCTGACTCCCCTTGCTTAGGAAATTAAATGTACAAAAATAATACTTTTTATCTGGGATTATTCAGACCCGATATTAATCTGAGGCTGCAGCCAAAAACAAGAATCTACATTGGGTATTTTATGACATCTCGACAAGATGGAGTGTGTGGCAACGTGCATACATCACTCACTTAAGAGCAGAGCCGGATATCGGAAGCTCAGCAGGGCTGGGGCGGGTTGGTATTGGATGGGAACATCCGAGGAAAAATCAAGTTGCTGTGGGAAGCGGTGAGGCTGGCCCAGCAGGTATTTTCCTGCCCTCTGGACTAGCCATGTCCAAGAACAATCTTTGGAAAAGATATCAAACTGAGTTCTCAACTTCTACCAATTCTATGAAGACTCCCACTAAAGAGTGTATGCTGGTTTCCTCAAATTCTACCTCCGGCATTCAGCGTTTCCTCCCTTCACTTCACCTGATGTTTAATGAACATAATTCTTTTCTCTAATTCAGCTGCTCTATGAGCTGTGGTAGCTCAGACGGCAAGGGTGTCTAGCTCCTGACCGGAGGGTCCCGGGTTCAATCCCAGGTAGGGGCAAGCGATGTAGCTCTAGTTCCTTCCAGATGGCTCCCAGGTCCACTCAGCCTGCTGTCCAAATGAGTACAGGGGGGGGTTAATCCTTCTGGGGGTCACAGGCCAGCCGGAGTGTGATGCTTGACCACATCACCTCCACCTCCAGAGTCAGATGGTTGAGAAAACGGGTGGCCCTCGCCCCCCATTCCCCCCCCATGGGCCCTTATGGCCTGAAAAGAGGACCTAACCTACCTACCTACCAGCTGCTGTATGAAGAGAAGCTTCTACTAGAAAGCTCCCTCCCACTATCCAGGAGAGCGATCCACTTCAGCAATGCTGCGAGAGAAGAAAGCTCCTTTTTCCCTGCACTGCACCCTATCCATCTGTGTGCTCTGTCAGGGTGAAAAGTGACAGTCGACAAAATCAGAAAGCATGGGCAGTATTACTGCGACACCTCTATCCCAGTGCCTTTCAGACCATTAAAATACATTTGATGTAGGAATCAAGAGCTCAGTTCCAAAACAGTGGAAGGCTGTATGTTTTAAGCCTATTTAGAAATATCTTCACACGGTTCTCACCATTTGCACAGAACACCTGGGTCCTTTATTGTTTTAATATACTGTAGGCGCACAGTCTAACACGTAACACGCACACCACCCAGAGTCAACTGAACGCCACTCTCATGATGAGGCCAATAGAAACAAATGTGAATCAGTGTCATTTAACTGAGTAAACAAACATACTGTAAATGGATCAGCGCACCTCTTCTAACCTGTACAAACTTTAAAAAAAAGGGAGATTTAGAAACTTTTACAGAAGGAGAACGTGAATGCGTGAATGCTCGAGACCTGTCTGCAAATTACAGCAGACAAGCTTCTATTCCACACCTTTAAATCTAAACTTCTAGCAGTAAACTAGAGTCCCACTGCTAGCACTTCTAGATTAATTGTCCTGACCTAGTGGAGCATATTCTTTAATCTCAGCAGTGCAGAACAAGGTGTGGTTTACTTCCTCAACCATAGGACATTTGACTTGTAAGAAGAGACGGTGGCAAATTAAAAAAAAAACACTGACGCAATGTTTGTAAAAGTGAATTAAATTGCTCAAGCACTTGGGCCAACAAGCAGCAAGCCGTTTATAAAGGGGCAGAGGGATATATTTGAATACACGCACAATTTACAGTTTGATTGCAAGTATTTAGCATAACAATGTCTACAAACCACCACACAAGGAAGCACCTGGTATTCTCCCATCACTGCAAAGGTTGCGTTTGCTCACTGAAGGTTAATCATATTTGATCTACAAATACACAATATAGATATACAAACGGATTTCTTCGAGGACACGGGTCTCTCCTGTTAGGGACCCTGTTACCCGTGCAGTGTAGACCACAGCCACCACTAGCAGAGTCAGCCCATGACGGCTGCACTTCAGAGGAATGAGGAATGAAACACACCAAGCAAATGACAGCTAAGGTCAACAAGTGCCTGCACGGCGAATTTCAACTGCTGGGCTGGAGATAAGAATGCACCGTGAGGTTTAGTGCCTTTTGTATTGGACAAAACGTCCACAGTTTCTGGGGCGACAGGAAAACACAAAACCTGTTCCAGAGGCGGCGGCCTGCATATGGAGTTTCACACCGCTGACGACACGCTGGGGATCTACAGCTTTTTTGTCGTAGCTGAAATTTTTTTTTTTTAAAAAAAAAAGCACTTCGTTTTCCCATACGCCTCCCACTGGAATCTCCAAGGAAACTCATGTTTCTGGACACTGCAACACCACAGGATGCGAAAACGAAAACACGATAAAAGAAACGAGGGACCGGGAAAATCCAGGATTTTGGGTCTCCTTTACGCATTTCCCTGTCTGCGCACGACCGTCGTCTTGCTCCTAACTGTAAGTAGCTATTTCGACGAGCACACTTCCTCCCAGATGAGGCGATCCTATGGCACGATCGCTGCGTCTGCACTTTCAGGACGCTGAAACGACGGAGTCAGACCCCCTGGGGAGAGTGAACCAGGCAGCCCGCAGTCCGCGGGCGATGTTTCCTTACCATGATTTTGGGAGGTCTCTTGCTCTTGGGATATGCGTTGCTGGGCATGGGCAATGGCTTGGCTAGACGGGCTTGGAGTCTGCGTTGACTTGTTATGGCTCATAGGTGGGGAACTCGGCAGAGAATCGCTGTCGAACGAAAAATATCCGCTGGACGATCTGTGCAGGGGTCTAAACACGGGGAACCTCGTCGCGAAAGACAGGGGGCTATGAGGCATCGTAATCCCTCCCCGCAAATGATCGACTTCAGGAGACCGGCTGCCCTCAGACCGGCTGGGCAGGGCGTTTGGAGGAGCCGGCGCTCCGCTCGGAGGAAAACCTGCTCCGGGCCCGGGTCGCAACTCTCCGCCTTCCCCTCTTTCACAATCTAGGGTGGTCGAGCCATTCGCTTGCTTTTGTCCTCTGCAGAATAGACAAGGCAGGGATTATTGTCAGCATCGCCGTCCTGTCACGCTTTCACAGCCCACAGTGTGTGTGTGTGAGAGGGAGAGGGAGAGGGGGTGCGTGCGTGAGTGAGTGCGCGCTTGCTTGCTTCTGGTGGGAGGTTTCAAGTTAGTAACAATGTGAAAAGAGATCAAACCTCATTTCCATTTTTTTGTGTCTTAGCCCAGCCGCGCTCGCGTTAACGGGTGGGTTTTTTTTAAAAAAAAAAGAAGTCTGCACAAGCGAAAAAGCCGCGTTTTGTTGTGTGTTTTTTTTTATTGCGAAGCTACCGAACGGAGAGGTTGCTGGCGGAGCCCCTGCTCTCGGGTGCCGTCTCGTTTGGAGGCGGTGGTGGTGCTGCTGCTCCGGCCGGCCGGCCCGCTCCCCTCTCCCCTCCCCCTGTTCCCGGCTAGGTGCTGATGACAGCACTTTCTGCCCGGGCTGGAGCCGGCGAGCGTCGAGCTGGAGTAACTGCGTCACACGACACACGCTTTCGGCCAGCTCCACTTCCCAGTCGCCTCTCTCACGAAGGGGTTATGACACCGTGGACAGCGGGCACCACGTTCGCCTGCTTTTTCCAACAAGTTCGCAATCTCTCGCATTCTCGGTCACGTTTTTTGGGGAAGTCCTGCGGATTTTTTTTTTTCTTTTTCAGCGCGAAGTTACTTTTCTGACATTGTCTATAATCGGGTTTTTCTCGACACTCGTCCCCGCCGCGTACCGGTGCCTCCTGACCTCCAGTCAACTGCAGCTCGGGTAGAAAAAGAAAGTTTTCTTTCTTTACGAGGCTGTGCGGGGAGTTACAGTCACTCCCGCGGGAATGTCTCTTTATCTACCACTTGTTAACTTCAGCTCGCACAACGCGCTTTTCGGGCAGGATCTGTCCTCTTAAGACAAAGACGGCGAATACTTACACTTCACAGACAAGTGCAGTGTTTAATCGGTCCTTTGAAGAGTTGGAGACAAAAGCTTTAAGAAGTGATTAAACACTCCCCGAGGTCTGAGCGCCGTCACTGACACAGCCCCGCTAGTGTTATCATTTTTTTTTCTTCATGGGCGTCACAAAGTTTAAAGGGCCAAAACAGAGGCAGCAGTGGGAGGCGCTTATTGGCGCCGGGCGGTGATTGACAGGAGATGCCACACTCCTCCGCCAATCACAGGCCGCCCGGCCAAGGCACTTCAGAGCCCTGCAGACTGGCTGTCAGAGCGCAGAAACAACAACCGCACGACACGGCCGTCCTGGTACAATGTGCTCTGTGTAGTAACTAGCAAAACACACACACACACCACACGTCGCTGAAAGCTTTGATCGTTTTCCACTTTCAGAGAAGGGTACAACGGCTCGCTCTCGTACGCCAGTGAAAGCACACGGCGGGCGAGCCAGCCGAGTGAGGCGGCACAAGCAGGGAAGTGGAATTGGACCCGGCGGCTCGGATATCGGTCAGGAGAAAGCGCGAACTGCCGATCAGCTATACCAACAGACCCGCGGTTCAATGCGGGACACGGCGGTGAGCGGTCGCCCTCTGTTACATCGATGCAAGCGCTGCGCCGGCACTCGTGATCTCCAGAGACATAACTCCTCATCACACGAACAGTGGCATTTACTTCAACACCCCCAGCTTCTATTTAAAGAAATACTTAAAGCCTCCCCCGTCACCATTTTCTAATGCGTTACGACCCGTTTAAAGAGCCCGACGACTTCATTACGGTGAGAGTAACACCAGCAGGGTTTAACATCGAGGTCTTCTTACGAAGCGAAAACAAAACAAACAAACAAACAAAAAAAAACCACGGGCTTGTGTTCGCTCTTTTCTAGTTTGCAGAAGACAACCCAGTCCACCCTCGCGCCGGGGGCCGGCGACCCGCACGCGCCCGCCGCTCGCTGCGGCGGCACGCGGTGGCCAGAGTTGACACGCGAGCCGGGCACGTCAGGTGCGCGAGGAACAAGTCCGCACCTCGCTCGCACGAAGGCAGCTCCGCAGGTGGCCGCCTTAACAATTAGTCTTGAGCGCCAGTAGCTGTCAGAATGGGGAAAACAAAACATCGCAATAGAGATTGTGCTTGATATATGTAAACTGCATGTGCTTTGGTCCGATTAGACACTATTAGATGTGCAGGCTCCCTCGAAATGCGGTATTGTTCGGCTGTAAGACGGCGAACTCACCTGTATAGGGTCTACAGCGCAATACTATAATCAGTGATTTATTAACAACAACATTTCTGAAGAACACCGCGTACCTATGCATGAGATATCTTTTATATCAAATAAGATCCAGCGCTAATGAACATAACATAATTAAGAATCGAATTTTCTTTAATCCGTTTTTTTTAAATGTTGTTCCCATTAGGTGGTATTCAGGCTACACTCAAATAAAACGTCAGAAAAATGACAAGAGCATGCCATCGGCCGCATCTTACCTGGGCGAATAGGACATATCCACAGTGGCGCCCAATTAGCAGGACATAACAGCCGAAAACAATGACTCAAAAAAAAAAATCTGCGGGCGAACTTGTTGATCTATGTAACTCACCCCCGAGTTGCCAAGCGAAAAAAAAAAAGTGTAGGTGTTCAGATTATTTTTTTTTTCTCAAAAGCCAAATGTCAAAGAGATAAAGCTTGATGAAATCGAAACAAACCGGTTTCAGGTCGCTGCGTCTTGTGACAAGTGGTCCTTTTTTTTTTTTGTAAAACACCACAAAAAAAGTATTTGTTATTGTCTTCGAAGGCACGTCGTGAGGCGCTCTCTGCTTCCTCGCCGACCCCAGCTCTGGTTCAGACAACGGACGTGGTGCACGCGCTTTAAGAGGCGACGCGTCACGTCTTTCCCCGCCCACTGCCCGCCCACTGCCCGTCAGCTCGCGGCTCTGCGCCCAGCACGCCGAGACAGGTACACGCATTATTTTGTACAAAGTACCGTGGGTTTCCTCAAATAAAGTACATCGACACGGCAGGCGACGCAGCGTGAAATGAAAGCGGCAAAGCATGTAACAAGAAGCCAGTCAACGTGTATAAACAACAACAACAACAACAACAGCAACTACTAATAATCATAATCATAATAATAATCATAATAATAAAATAATGCACTTCAGCTTTGAAAACGATAAGGACGCTGTAGTGGAAAAGTAAACAATCGCTCCAGAATTAGTGAGAGTGCAGCTCCTTATCTCCTCTTTACCTCCTGTCCTAATTTAAAACGGTTCCCGAAATGTAAGTCTGAGGAGGTGAGAGTGTCGGGAGGCGGCGGCGCCTCGACGGAGCCGCAATCCGTCGGGTAACCTTATACCCGCCACTTTCGGGTGGCGATCCTCGATCTCGCCCTTGCTGTCGGCGTGCAGAGGTCCGATCCCTTCAGCCTCCCGCACACGCACACGCCCGCCGAGCCGGACCGGCACACCTGCTGCACCGGCGGCGCGGACGGGAGACGGCTGGAGAGACGAGGCCAGGCGCTGGAGAGACGTCGAGGACGAGCCGTGCTCGGGGCTGCAGAGCACCGATGCCCCGGTCAGTTGTGTCGAGGAGAAGACCAACGGAATTTGTTTTTTGAAAACCGAGCCTCCTTTTCTCAAGCAGTCGACTCCAGGGGCTGCGTGGTGTTTTTCGGAAAGCGGCGCGCCCGCGGTCTTTATTTCAGTACTTCGACGGTTTGCCTTTTTGTTTTTCGTTTTGATACCTTTTCCCCATGGCCCTGCTTCGTCCCAGTACGAGTTGTTTCGATCTCTTTCAGGCTTGTATTTGTGTTACAGATGCCGGTCTGAAAAACTCCAAACTATCCTGAAATTACGTTTTGCTGTATATATATATAAAAAAAATGAAAATCGGTATTTTTTAAATGATGTTCCTATTTTGTTACAGTTTATGTAACTGGACAACTGATCGGGTATTTTTGAAGCGTTATTTTTAAAATGGTTTAAAATATATAACTCTTTGATAACTTTGTTTTCCAGCAGCTTCATGCTGAACAGTTTTTTAGACCACGTTCTTGAAGCCAGAGTTACCAATTATCAAAAGGCACTTTAAAAAAAATCAACAGGACATGGGAAATAACAGAGCGGTTTCATATTCAACCATATATTGAAAATATTCAGGCAACAAAATAAATATTTCAGCAGACTTTTTTTTTATTCCGATATAAACAATAAAAGTAATCCGACATCGTCTTCAAATAGCAGGTCGTGTACAATCTCGAGCCTCAGCACGGCTACGCTGGATGAAACGACATTTAGAAATTTTAAAATCATTTATCTAGCCACAGAACTTTCAACCATACACTCATAATGAAATTTTCTTTTTTAAGAGTGGGTGTACAGAAGCCACAAGAGAATCAGACAGCACAGACCTCTGCTTATATAGGCTAATCACGTTCACAAACAAAACCGAGACTTACGATCGCTTTACAATACCCAGACTTTAAACACAATTTACACGCCGTGCAAAACTATTTTTGTATCAAGTTAGCACCGGCGAAACGCCTCTGTCGGCGACTACAGCCTACATTTCAAAAAGCACACATTAAGGTCGGGTCTCCTTAATCATTTTCAGTTATCTCTTAAACAAATTGCAATGAAATGCGTGGTGTTAAATTAAATTACATTCTTATTAAAATTAAGCATAGCATTCTAAGCAAAATACGGTACAGTAGTAGCAATATCAGGTAAATAACATAAATATGAAATTGAAGTGTACAGTATATATACGATTTCAGATTAAGTAGTAGTATCACAAGCCTTGTAGAATTATTAATAATTATAACAACAACAACAACAACAATAATAATGATAATAATAATAAAATACAGCAAGACTTTCCTTTGAATTTGCATCCATACCGGGCGAAGACAAAATATTCCTCCTTCATCGTCTCTATAATACCACTGCATACAGTATTTTTAAATTTACAATGTAATTATATAGTAATAAAATAGAACTATATTCGATATTAAAAGCATTATTTCTTAAAAAACAATGAAATGACCCATAAAAAGCTTTACGTCTGATCAGTCGCTGCTCCGACTCGCATATTTCTGTCGATTCCTGCGCTAAAAGGATTTGAAACCGATTTTTATCAGGTCTAGAAACGTTCGCCCACACATCCACCGAAAAAGGAAAATACCGCTATAATTCAGTTGATGAGACTGAAACCAGCTATTCTTTTGTTGTGCCAAAATATTTTATTTTCAATAGACGACAGGAGTTCATAACGCGCATAGCCAACACAACGTTTTTTCCTTACTAGACTGGCGTTTGTCGACCACATCGGGAATACCCAACTAAACCATTCTGGCAAAAGCGTCACGTTCTAGTAGTTGTTGTAAAAGTTAAATATCTAAGTTTTCAAGCACCCACGACAGAGTAGCGATATTGTAAAAGTTGAACAGAATGATTGTTGAGGGACATGGGGTTAGGTATCGGGGAAGAGAGCAAAATGTTAACCAGGCAACTGGACTGTGCATGTAGAAGTGTGCTGTACAAAAAGGATGTTTTACAAAAGCCTTGATCAGTATTAATTTTATAAATCACATACACCATAATACACAACGTGATACTGCACGTTATACTCGGTCATGCACTGTCCGATCAAGTCCATTGTTGCTCAGTTGAGACGCCCATATTAGACCATATTAGGAAAAAAACATTGCTGTCTCCCCAAGTATAAAATCACTTTTCTTCCCTAACTAGAGAAGTGTTCTGTCAAAGGTCACTTACATTTAATTATATATTAAAAATATGCATCCGCTCAAAAGAATCCTTGGAAACTTTGGAAAGTACTTTACTTAAAGTGTTGCACATTCTGATAACTGCAGGTGTGCCATAGACACACACGGTCTATGTATACTGTACATATAGGGAGAACCATTACATGTAACAAAATGCTGTCGGTTCCAGAACTGATACACCGTATGTAGACTCAAACTGCAAGGTTTGCATAGAACACCTGAGTGTTCCTTGACTTGTTGAATCCTATACAGTATTAACTTAATACGAGGAGTAAATATCCAATGTGGAGTAGGTGATCAGTCAGACTGACAGATGCCCCCTAAGATCCATGTCTGGGTCATTGGTCAAGTCATAGATGAGCTTCAACTTCCTTAATCTTTCTTGTGGAGTTGAAGTGCAAGAGTGCAGTGATCTGGAGCACCATTACTCTCTTCCTGAAGAGGATCACAGGAATCTGGAGTCTGTATTGAAAGCACAGAGCACAAGGTGGGACGACAGGCTGAACACGATACGATACTGTATATATGGAGACTCACGGGGTAGGAGAGGGCGCACACACTGTGATAGTTGAGATATACCGACTAACCTAACCATCATGTCTTTGGAAAGCCGGGAGGAAATCAGAGCAGCAGGAAAAAAAAAACATGCCACTATAAGGGACCATGCAAACTCCACACGTAAGTCACCCCAGGAAGAAAGTGAATCCAGAACCCCTGTGCTGTGAGTCAGTAGAACTAACTGTCACACTGATGTGCTGAGCTACCATATTTCATGTAATTATACAGTCTTTTGGGGGAGGAAACTACTGAAGATACACCTCTGTTTTAGACGTTCTTCTTGTGCTATGCAGAATATGCAGTTCTTTCACAAATGATAGTTCTGAAAATCCTGGAATAAACAGGTGTTTTCCCCAAACATGGCTGTTATTTGTGCCTGCTCTGTGTGGCTGTTGCTGGGGTGCTGTGAGTTACTGATGAAGTATTTTATTACATGAATATCATACCAAGAAAACTTTCAGGTGGGGAGGTGCGTCAGCATGTGTAGGCTGCAAAGGAAGAAGTAATAAGTTTATTCCATGCTGAAAAGAGAAGAAAGAAAACACACATTTTGGTTGTGGAGCCTTCCTTGGGTATAAGGCTTACACTGGAAGAAGGCTCCACAGCTGAAAAGTTGTGTTCTCTTTCTTCTCTTTTCAGCATGGAATAAACCTATTACCTCTTCCTTTGCATACCAAGAAAACTACTTTGACAGCACAGAAACATACCATTCCAACAAGCCAAAAATACTGTAGTGCATTCAGCAGGCAAAATGATTCATAATACACTGTATTTGGTCATCCTAGACTCAGGATTCAATATACTGTACATAGCTTACCATAAAGTCATGTGTGTGCCATACCCAAATGAATTAATTGCACATAAAAATGATGAAAGTAGAACTAAATTAGATTAGAAAAATGTATCATAATTAAATATAAATATTAGTTAAAAATACACTTAAACATGTCTGGCCAGGGACAAATCAACTAGCACTTAACTAATTGTAGATCAGCCATTACTAAATTCACAATTACTTGAATATTCCTATCCAGACTGTAACACTATAGGTGTTTCAAATATGATGAAGTATTAGATACCGAAAGCTACAGTATATGTCTGAATGTGCTTGTCGGTCTGTTATTGGAGCAGAAGAGTGCATTAGACACAGAACACTCCATGTAAAAACCAATCTCCAATCATGTACAGCGATTGTGGCCATCTGAGGGGGAAACGAACTGCAGCCACACAATGTGTGTAGCAGGTAGGTCCTGCAGACGCCAACAGCACTGGGGGGATCACAGCCTGGATGTGAAGCGAGCCCTCCTCCCTTGGGGCTCCGCATGTCGTGGGTGCTGGGGAAGGGAGTAAAAAGCCCACTCGGCTCTCGGATTGGTGACCCCAGCAATAGGGGCCTGGATGCAGCACTCGGGCATGTTGAAGTCTGAAACGACTCTCAGAGCTTCGTCCTTCACCGACTTGCACAGGTCCAGGAGCTGCAAGGGAGAGCAGATCGAAGAGCGATCGATCAATTCAATCGACAGGGCATTTTACACAGTGCCTTCACAACTGTGCTAGGATCACAGCAACAAATTGGACATGCAGTATTTTACATTTCTAGCATTTTCATAAGAGAGAGCATTCTCATGTTGTAAAACAAACTGAAAACAGAAAAGCAAAGTCTTCCGATAGTATTTGTATTTAATTGTAATGGTAAAAAACCTGTCACAATACTTTCTGTTGGGAAATAAAGGTTATCTTTTTGGAATCTGCATTTTTTTCTGTGACTACTGTACTTACAGTAAAACAGATATGCAATTAGATACTCCAGTTTAATTTCCCGTGTGTACTTGGACAATTTAAGGGAAGAGATCTCCTTGTATAATTGTTTATATTTTTCATGTGTAGGTGTGATGTACATTCATGTTGAAGTATAAATAAAGATTTAAAAAATAAGAACCACAATCAGGATGCCAATTGTCGAGAATGACACTTAATGAGACAAATTCAACTATAAAACCAGTCGACCGGACACTCAATCAAACTACAATTGTCCTGGTGAAGGCTTCCTTTCCAAAACAACAATTGTTAATAAAATGTATTTTGAAGTATAGAGTTTGCATCCAGCAGACTCTACTTTTTATAAGGACAGCACCCCGAAGAGTTTTGGGTTTGAGAAAAAAACCCTTCTGAAATCGGAACAGGAGTGACGCAGTGTTATATTGATGGTGTGCACAAGTAAAATAATAATCTCGCTTTCCCAGAGTGAATGCTGATGTACTGTAAGTATAAGTATTTACATTATTTTCCGCTTGGCCGTCTTTGAATGATCAAAGGGCAGCCAACTGGGTTTATAACCACAGGGAATTTCCAGTTTCAACTAGTGTAAGAGCAGATTTCACACCAGCAAATGTACTGTACATTCCTATACACTGGCATCGCTGTGGAATTAATGTTCTCATAGACACTAAGTTTCTGAAATGGTCTTTTTACTACTGTATATCTTCTAGCAAAGCAGGCTATTGTGGTTTGGGGCTCATATCATTACTAAAGGGAATTGTACAGAGAAAATTAAGTGTGTCAGACACCTCAAAACTGAATTAATATTTGACAATCTTAACCACAACTTCCTTTTATGTTTCAGACCAAAAAAAAAACTCAAATCTGGTGACATTTTGTCATTCTGTATTTGGCAAGCTCCAGAAGTGTTCAAAGTAATAAAACAACTGAAAAAGAAGACTCTTAAATGGTATCTGACAAAAAAAGCTTTTCTTTTTGAGATGTTTAACTCTAAAGAAATCACATTCTGTCTCTGTTTCAGAGATCCATATATGGGATATTTGTACAGTCATTTGATTCTTCAAATGCGAGACTATGGTTAGGTTGGGTGATCAGTGATCTGTGGACTTTACTGTTACGCGACACATCTTCCTTTTGAAGCCAGTCTCAATACTTTGCCGCCAGATTTCAATGTGTTGTATTAAAGGCAATGCCCGAAAACGAAGCAGATTTTAAGTTCAATCACAATCTCCTATTCCTGAACAAGTAAGCTGACTGTGCCATAAAGCTTTGCCTTAAAAAGAGTTGAAACCTTTCATTTAACATTAATTCATTACATTTCCCAGCCAGATGGGAGCTTTTTTACACAGTCAAATAATGTCAACAGCCTCCCTGGTTTGGGTGTGGAGCAGGAAGTCTTGTTTCCCACCCTGAGTTTGGAGGTCTGTCCTCCCGGGGGAGTTTTCCTGGCTGGAGGCAAGACCCAGGCCAGCTGACTAACATTCCCACACCAGCCAGCCCTCCCTGTGAGCCTCACTCTACATCTGCTCAGGGTGTGCGTGCACCTGGGCTGCTAAAGGATGCCATTATTGTTCCAGATCATAAGGTGTTTTAAAGATGTAAAAGGTATGCAATGCTCTTGCTATAGTTTGTACACTGTAAACTCTCCATACGTGTTGTCAACGCATGTTGTACTCTACGAAACGCCATGTAAAGTAATCTGCACCTTGTTGCAGATTAGTGTGAATAGATAAGACTTGCTGTAGATAGCTAGAATAGGTAAGGAATTCGATTTGTTTTACCGAGAGCCTCCATTAGTTCTCTCATCCTCCAGCATTCCTTAAGGTGTGATTATTAATGACACAAAGCAACACAATTAAGGGCACAAATATCCCATATTGTAAACTTTCATAAATGTCTGACTTCTTGATTATAGCCTTTATAAAACTGAATATTTTACAAATATTTAATATGGGGTGGTGTGGTGGCTCTGTGGCTAAGGATCTGCGCCTGTGGCTGGAAGGTTGCCGGTTCAAATCCCGCGACCGACAGAGGAATCCTACTCCGTTGGGCCCCTGAGGAAGGCCCTTAACCCCAACTGCTCCAGGGGTGCCGTATAAATGGCTGACCCTGCGCTCTGACCCCCAGCTTCTCTCCCTGACTGTGTGTCTCATGGAGAGCACGATGGGGTCTGCGAAAAGACACATTCCTAATACAAGAAATTGTATATGGCCAGTAAAGTGATCTTATTTTATATTAATATTTCCTTTAACAATCTAAAAATACCAGTTTGTTAAACTTAGTATATCCCTCACAGTTTCATTATGGGGTTTTAAACGGTTAGTTGACACTAACAACCAATAGTAAATCAGCAGGTCTAACACCAATATGGAAAAACGTTACATGACAGGAAATGGAAAAAAGAATAAAGGAGGACTTGACTTGTGGAGTGCTTTTTTTTTTTTGCTTCTGTCCATTAGTTCCCTGTGTGTCTGTGTGGCGGTTGTCTCTGCTGGCCCGGGCAGATCTAAACTCTGACCCTAGGAAATTGGTACTGTATGTGGGCTGTGCAGGGCCTGGCAGAGGAAGCCATGCTGACTCCTTCCCTCCTCTGCATCTACTGTTGACTACTTGCAACACTGTCTGTTGGCATGTGCTACGATCTCAATCATCCGGTCTGTCTCAAACATCTGCAGGGTTCATAATACCCCTCAAACAACAACAACAACAAAATATCAAAAGTGGAAACGGTGAGTAACCTTATGAGTAATAGTGGGTTTGGAGCTTCGTATTTTGGCACATCTGCTTCTGATTAGACTGCTATAAGACATACCACTCTATTCTGCATGGGACATTCTGTGAGGTTTGGTTTATTGTTTCATTTTAATCACTATATTTAATTCCACTGCTGGGGGTTGTGCACCTAGATAGCTGTTCGTGTCTGATTCACAAACATCTCATTTTAACCACCGTGGACAGGACTGGAAGATCTCTTTGCCTTTATAGCGGAAGGTAAAGGCTATGGGCTATGCTAAGGCCTAGGCTTTGCTCAGACACTGTATACAGTCTCCACTATGATGTATAATCTTCAGATAATCTGTAGAAGCATATTGTTCTTATGCTCTGTTAAAAGTCAATAGTTTGGCACAAATAATGCAATATCTTCCTTAAAGTAACGTAAGATTGAATTGTTTTAATCAACTGGAAGTTACCAATGTATTGTAAATATCAGTGTAGAGTTCTGAAGGGTGAAGAAAGCTATACAACATAAGAACAAAGGCACACCACGTCATTTTAACAACTAAAAAAGGGGCTTACTAACATACTGGCGATGAAAAGATTAAACTGTGACACAAGACAAAATATAAGGTTTAATGGATAAAAACATTCTACAAGAATAATTATAAAACTAAGTATTATTTTAATATCTCTGCTTACAGTTATACTGATTTTTAAAAGAAATTCACTGTAATATTTATTGCTTATTAAATCAGCTCGTTCAACCGAATTTAAGACCAGATTAAAAATGGTGCCACCTGGTGGCTTCTGAACAAAGTTCAGTTATTTTATACTTCTCATTTCTAATCCATTAAAAACACCGCTTTCAACATAAGTCTAGAAACCTGTGAGCAGCTTTCTGCCACAGAAGCTCATTCATGCTCCGAGGCCACTATACTGTGAGTAAAAAATGTGGCAAGAGTTTATCTTTCGTCTCTTTGCAAATCAAATCTGGTGACTCACCTCCAGCTCCGGGAAGACTGTACAGCACACAGACATGGGGAGAGCAGACTGAACCCTAGCACAAAGCGCAGCTGTCCTTACACTACGACAGGGGACACTGCTAGATACTGGGGTTATATTCACATTGCACCACGAAACAGCCATTTTATTATGTTCTGTTATCAATGTTCGTAGACCCCAGACTTTCCATATGCAATCAATTTATCTTATCAGTATCAATACAATAATATTCTTTTAGCTTTAACAAACACATACCCCCGATTTTTGACTAAACCACTTCACATTTCTCCTCATTAATCAAATTTCTCTCAAAGTGTCCATTGTTACCGCAGTAGCCACACACCTCTCCCATGTCTCCTACAGCAACCCAGACTTTAAACCCTACGTCTAACCCCGACTACGGCTTTAACCTTTCTCTGAACCCTAATACCAGTCGTAATCTGTCTAACTCAAACCAAGAACCATATATACCTGGACAGTTTTGGAAGTGGACGCATCAGCTACCGACACGTCACCCCTGCAAAACCACACAAGACACACAAGGGTCTGCTTTGAACCCACCTGATTGACAGCTACAATGACACTAGAAGAAGGAAAACCTTAATATTGAATTATTTTACCAAATGGGCCTTTTTTAAAAAAAAAACTAACAAAACAAATGCAGGGCTTTGGCCCCAAAATACAGGAAGCCTTAAGGAAAAGGAATTCTGACAAAATTGAGCAGCAAGAGAAGAGTCTGAGGGCGCTCAGTGCTCAGAACCTGCTTCTGTTTCATGCGGTGAGGGAGGCGGAGAGGTGATGCTGTTTGATCAGCCACCATCCGCCTTTAGGGGGCTGATCTCTGAAAGTAATACCAGCTCCACAGGAGGCAGCCCAGAGCTGGAGAGATCAGCACAATTCCTTGCAGCTCTCCATGGAAAGGAACTGTCCGGTATTACTGTGGTGCTGAACTGGCAGGGAGAGAAACCCCTGCTAG